AAAATAATTGTGGGGCTGTGAAGTACAGGATAGGGAATACAGTTATTAATACTGTAATAAGCTATGTATGTTGCCAGGTAAGTACTACAATTATCTGGGGGATCACTTTGTAAATTATATAAATGTCTAACCACTATGTTGTATACCTGAAACTAATAACACTGAATGTCAACTGTAATTGAATATATTTTTAAAAGAGAGAAAGAAGCAATTCTCCCCTTCAGTAGGAATGGGAACTCCCTAACTCCTAATTTCCCTGAATCAGAAGTTCCACTGAAGCTGAAAGTAAAAGTTGTCTAATTGACTGCTGGTTTCATGTCAACTGTGGGCTTACTCTTATAGTCTAGTAGCATGAATTTCATAGCAGTGATTGCTTAAGGAAGGTCTGTTTTTGCCAACACTTTCAAAGTACACAGCTCTTTGTGTGCTTTGGATCCTCAATTATTGCTTCTAGCAAGTCAGGGGATCTCTGCTCTCCCCCACCAAGACATGGTAAAGGGTCTTTGAAAATGTAGTATAACAGGAAACACTCTGCTTGATAGGAATAGTGAGGCAGAAAAGGCTGGTAGCAGCAATGTGAGCATCACCCAGGGCGACAGGCAGGCTATGTAGCTCTCCCCTAAGCATGACATCGGACCCCCCAGGCAGTCTGTCTCTTTTTAGAGACAAGGGAAGAAGATGTAGCATGACCTATTGGCTTTTCCCTATGGGTCCAACCCACCTTTCCAACTTTATCTCAGGCTGCCTCCAACCCAGGCCTTCAGAATCAAGGCATCCACCCTCACTCTCCCTGCACTCTGGCTACTCTCCATTCTGACACTGTCTTCTCCATGATACCCAGTATGCCTCCTGCAAAAAGCCACCATGACTACGAAGTCCAATCAGAATGATTCTCTCTAAACTCCTAAACCAAGAATTGCTGGAACTGCTTAGTTCTATATACTCTGTGTTCATTTTCAGTTATCTTTATACCTGTATCTTTCAATTCCCTGACTCGAGTATCATCACCTTGATAAGAGAGTTTATGTTTTCCTTCATCCCCCACAATGCCTGGTATAATAACTACAGAAGACACTAAATTTTATTTTTGGAATAAGCTATGTAAATAAATAACTTTATTTGTATGGTTTGTATTTTTAGTGCTCAAAAGTACAATATTTTGAGGCAGCAGTCATGAGAAAAGCTAACAATTTAGGCTGACAATTCTCTCTTCTGTAAAAAGATGAATCCAGCAAAACTCTTTCTTTGTGAGATAATCAACACCAGCCCAGTCCTCCAAGTCTGTGCAAAACCCTTTGGGGCTCACAAAAAAATAAACTAGTCTCAGTCAACAGACAGCCTGATCAGAGTTAAGTAGAGAAGCAAGTGAAACTGTTACTTTAGAATCTAGACAGTCAGGGCATGCCAGGGAGTCTCTCCCATTGGCCAAGATGACACTGGGGTGGCTCTTACATTGAGCATGCCAAAAGCTAGCAAGATAATTGAATAGAGAGAAAAAAGCCCTCCCCTCTCTATGCCTATAAGAACAGCAGGCTTGAGCAGGAAGAGAGATGATCTTTGAGAAAGAGAACGATGGGATTATCTTTGAGAAGGGAGTCCACCGTTCTCCCAGGTCATGTGGTTCCTGAGTACAGTCTCTTTCCTTTTGCACCAGAACTTGCCTCGTGAGTTTGGCTTTCATTGCCGCAGGTAACCAAACCTAAGGTTTATGGCTCGGTTATAAAACCATTGGGTTTAGGGCTTCTATTATCATTGTATTGCTGACTTCACAAATGACAGTAACATTTTCTCTCTAACCTTAATTCATGCTAAATTTCAGAAAATATCAAATGAGAGACAGAGAAGACCAAGACATCTGAGCTATGGCACATGCCCACAGCCAACAGTACAGGCAGAAAGCTGATTCTAGCTCATCTGGAAACCCAGAAGAGTCCACCTTGCTTTATCGTTTGTGCAATCAAACAGCAGAACACAGTGCTTCCTCCAGGTGGAAACAAAGCACACCCAGTAAACAAATCTTGTTCACATAGAGGAGCAGGGAAGAATCACTATTTGTGTTTCTGGAATGCAACGTTTTATACACAAGAAATCCTGTAGCACTTCAAGTTCTCAAGGTGGAAAGAAAAGTGAGCTTTCTCATCAGAGTTGGCATTCCATGAAGGGCATGTTGTCCATCTGCTGCAGGAAACATATTGGTAGATACATTAAAACCCACTTATGAATGGAGAGCCTCTAAGCCTCATTACACAGCTATTAATAGGAAGTAAAATATCCTTTATTTACTCTGTACTCTTGCACAACAGGGTATCGGGAAGAGAATATACTCATTCAATATTAGATCACCCTCTAGCATCATCAAAGAGCAGAGAAGCTATGCGCTTTCCCAGTGGTGCCTGACCATAAAGAACAGACCAGCTACGACAAATCAGAATGCATGTCTCAACGTAACAAGTGAGCCTAGCTCCCTCTGGTGCTTGAGAGAATCAGAGGAAAGCAGTGTAAGGGGGGCTGCTGGCTAGATCACAGCAAGCCACCTTCAGCTCGGAGGCCTTCCCCAGGGGACAGGATAAGTGGGAAACATCCAGACCCTCTGAGGATGATCTCACCTTTGAACACATGGAAACTCCTGTTACATAAGAAAATGGCTCTGGCATGAAGAGAGATGATACACCTCTCTTGTTCTACCTCCCCAAGAAATGGCCACACAATGAGTGGGGATAATGTATTGTATAGACCAGCGGTCGCCAACCGTTTGGACCTCACGCGGACCACCGGATGGCGACCACTGGTATAGACTACTCTCTTCATGTATATTATTTCACTTAAATACTCAAAGAATCCTTATATGGCAGAGATTATTCCCATTTCACAGACAGAGAAACTAAGCCTTAAAGGGGTCCAATCACTTCTATAAGCTGAAACTTGAATCCAAGTCAACCTGAAGCCACAGCCATGGTCTTGCCTTTTGTCACCCTATCTCCTAGCTCTCCAGTCTTCTTTTTTAAAAAAAAGCACATTGTAAATAGTCTCCCATTTTAGCTCTAAGGACACAACAAGTTCTATTTATATCTCAACAAAGGAACTAATAATTTGCCAACAGGATCTTTAGATTCCTCTGTTAAGGCACTCTTGTAGCTGCCTGAGCAACACTGAACCATTTATAGATGTAACTGCTTCACCTGCTCCTAAGAAAAGTTAAATATTCACATTTATAAAAAAAAATTTATAAATATCTCAAAATAGGCTTTTAAAACTAGCAAAGAATACTGATGAGAAAGGGAGGAAGGAAAGGAAAAGGAAGGGATTCAATACAATAGGAGGACCACAGTGAAGGACCCTGAAATGAAGGAGAAGCACCTGTAAGATTCAGAGAAACGGTCTGTGAAGTGCCGTAGGGCAGAGGGCCAAAGGTTTTGTCTGCTCGCTTTTTACACTGAACTCTTGAATCCAGTCAAGATACCACACACAGTCCTAATAGTCTCCCCATAGCTTATCATATCTGTGTTTGCTGTTACTCAAGTCTAGAGAAAACAGAACAAGAAAATGCCTTTACATTGCTCTTCTCCTTCTAAGACCACTCCCCTGGCTTAAGTCTCGCTGACCTATATCAAGAGCTTAGTACTAGCAACGATTCTGTTCTAATTGTTTTAGTGGACCATCCCCGCTAATCCTCACGTTACCCATTTTTATGACCCATTGTGCATAAGGCCACAGAGCTGCCCGACTGTTGGGTAGGGCCAGGATCCCCAACCAGCAGCCTGGCTCAAAGCAGGCAGGACAGTCACTTCCGGGCCCCCTTCTCTGCATCTAGGCAAGCTGCATTACGCAAGCGACAGTGCTGATGACTGCAAAGGCTATTGCACAAAACATCACCAGAGGAAACACGGACCAAATACCAAGAAAGCACACACCTAACTTTGTCTTCTGAAGGTAGAGATGGGACTCTAAGAAAAGGCAAACCGATGCAACAGAAAAACTTGAGGAAAACTATCGCACTATTAGACTCTTGGATTTAATAAGCATTAGATAGCAGGCTCAAAATTCACTAGGCACAGTCGTTTACTGAGCTTTCCCCCAATCTAACAATATAGGAGGAATAGAGAAAAGTGTTTCTTTTTAAAAATCTCTTCCCATTTCACATTACAGTATCAATATTTATGTAGTCTACACTTCATAACAAAAATGTTAAAGCTGTAAATAAAAACAAATATCAGAAAACCCCACGAAGAGCATCAGTGCTGTAAACATTCCTCCAGGGCATTCTATGCAAAACATTCTCTCACCCTCAACCCACTTCACTGAGCCCAAGGAAACAAGCAGCCACTTTTCCTCAGGGAAGGTCAGCAGGATTTCAAAGCTTCCTTCTCTCATTCTCCTCTTCATAAAAACCATGAGATAAAAACACACAACAATAAACCACAAACTATAATTTCACCTTTTCAAGTTCAAGAAATGCTCAGCCTTAGCCTTGGGATTCACACATGTAAACACCTCACGTAAGTTGCTTTCCATCCAGTTTTAAATAGAAAAACACACGGTTAGAACCTTTTTTGAAAGTCCAATATAATTTTGTCTATTTTATTATTTTAACACATGATTAATTATGAACTCTCCACATATCTTCCTTTGCTTATTTAAAATTCTTTTTAAATTGTTTAAAATTACTCTTTAAACAATTCTACAAAACGGATGGGAAGAATACTAAATCAATATTTTATTTCATGGAATCCAGTCAGTGCTTCTAAAGCAGCAAAAGCGTATTTCATCCTATAGTGCCACTGGCCATCTCTGAAAATAGAATACATTTCCCACTTTTAAACACACCATCTTCCTAACCTAAAAGAAAAAGCATTCCGTTTGTGAAAACGCAAATCTCTTTTCTTACCCCCCCCCAAAAAAAAACCAACAACATCCTTCCCATTTCCACATTACCCTGCCTCCTAGCCATTTCCAAAACACAATCACACTTCATGATGCCAAGGTGAGTAGGAGGGACTTACAGTTGAAGATGCCCGGAGGTGGATGTTCTGTCACCAGGAGACAGTTTTCTTCATCACTGTTGTCCCCACAGTCGTTCTGTTGGTTACAGACCAGTGAACCAAGATACAAGCATTTACCGCTGGTGCAGGTGAATTTGCACTCTGAAAAAGTACAGGGAAAGCATGCAGTCATCAATGCAAGTGTGATACTCGAGTTATTTCTTTCTTCCCCATTTGCATGCCATGACCGTTTGGGAACTCAGTCTACCTGGAGATCCCAGGAAACCGAACTCAGAGAAGGGCTCTCTTAGTAAGGACCTTCCTTCTAGGCAATGCACAGGACAGTGCGCCAGGGGCACTTGCCATACATTACTCCCTGCACGTCTCTATCCCACAAAATGAGTAACACAGGTGCTTTCTTCCCATGACTTGCCAGCAAAAGTCATAGCTATGAGGCTCTTAGTTTCTTTGAAAAAGCCCGTGTTATTTTTCCATGTCTCCAGCGCTGAGGCTACGGCAGAACTTGGGGGCTCAGGCTTGGTAAAAGGAGGCACATACATTTTATTTTCAACTTGTCACTAGATGATGTGAAGCTCTGAGCAAAATATTTAACCTCTCGCCCTAGCTGGTTTGGCTCAGTGGATAGAGCATCGGCCTGTGGACTGAAGGGTCCCAGGTTCGATTCCGGCAGGGGCATGTACCTTGGTTGCAGGCACATCCCCAGTAGGGGGTGTGCAGGAGACAGCTGATCGATATTTCTCTCTCATCGATGTTTCTAACTCTCTATCCCTCTCCCTTCCTCTCTGTAAAAAATCAATAAAATATATTTTTTAAAAAAATGTTCAATCTTGACTTCCAGGAGAATAAATCTGCATCTCAGAGACCAGAATTAATTCACTTGGTAGAACCAACATTTTATTAGTTCAAAGGCATAAAAAGTACTTGAAAGTCACTAAAAGAGTAGATCTTAAATGTTCTTCCCACCAAAAAAAAGAAATAGTAATTAGGTGGCATGATGCAGGTTTTAGCTAATGTTATGGTGGTTGTCATTGTACAATAAATAAGTGTATCAAATCAACATGTACACCTTAAACTTACACATGTTGTAATATGTCAATTATATCACAATAAAGTGTGTGGGGGGAGCCAACAAATAGTTGTTCTCAATTTTTCCTACACTCTTTTTAAAGCCTTAGTTTTCACAGATATGATCTCAGCCACAAAATAAAGACCTGTATAGAGTATCACATCACAACTGTAAAATCAGCCATTTTGTGAATTGGCAGAGTAGTCTGCCACAGCTATTTTTGTTAAAATTCATACAGCAACATCGACTCATTCAGTTCACACTTCTATCATTCACCAACCTCAAAATTGAGATCCTGGCTCCAATATTTCTGACATTAAAACCTAAAACCTACTCTCAGTAAAGTACGTACATTGTGAATAACAAAAAAATTAAACTTAGTCATTAACAGCCTATAAGTAAAGAATTAATAGGTTTCTAAAATTAAGATGAAGAACAGACATATAGATCAATGGAATAGAATAGAGAACCCAGAAATCGACCCAAGCCACTATGCTCAATTAATATTCGACAAAGGAGGCATGAAAATACAATGGAGTCAAGACAGTCTCTTCAATAAATGGTATTGGGAAAATTGGACAGATACATGCAAAAAAAATGAAACTAGACCACCAACTTACACCATACACAAAAATAAACTCAAAATGGATAAAGGACTTAAACATAAGATGGGAAACCATAAAAATACTAGAGGAATCCACAGGCAGCAAAATCTCAGACATAAGGCCGATGCAATTTCTTCACTGATACTGCTCCTAGGCCAGTGGTCGGCAAACTCATTAGTCAACAGAGCCAAATATCAACAGTACAACAATTGAAATTTCTTTTGAGAGCTAAATTTTTTAAACTTAAACTATATAGGTAGGTACATTGTTATTAACTTAATTAGGGTATTCCTAAGCTGGCCTTTGCTAAAAACGTCCTCAATCTGATTGAGGTACGTTCGCTGAGGTCGACCCCTTCCAACTCTCCCATCCACACTCGTCTTGTATACTTGTTTCGTCTATCTCCTTTCCGAAAACCGACTTCTGCGCATGGACCACGAAGTTTCAATCGCACTGTACGTGCGCACCCGCACATGGTATTTTGTGGAAGAGCCACACTCAAGGGGCCAAAGAGCCGCGTGTGGCTCGCAAGCCGCGGTTTGCCAACCACTGTCCTAGGGCAATGGAAACTAAAGAGAAAATAAACAAATGGGACTACATAAAAATAAAAAGCTTTTGCACAGCAAAAGAAACCATCAACAAAACAACAAGAGAGCCCACTGCATGGGAGAACATATTTGCCAATGTTATCACCGATAAGGGTTTAATCTCCTACATTTACAGGGAACTCATACAACTTAACAAAAGGAAGATAAACAACCCAATCAAAAATGGGCAATGGACCTAAATAGATACTTTTCAAAAGAAGACAGAAGGAAGGCCAAGAGACATATGAAAACATGCTTAAAGTCACTAATCATCCGAGAGATGCAAATCAAAACGACAATGAGGTGCCATCTCACACCTGTCAGACTGGCTATCATCAACAAATCAACAAACGACAAGTGCTGGAGAGGATACGGAGAAAAAGGAACCCTCATTCACTGCTGGTGGGACTGCAGACTGGTGCAGCCACTGTGGAGAACAGTATGGAGTTTCCTCAAAAAACTAAATATGGAACTCCCATTTGACCCAGTGATCCCACTTCTAGGAATATATCTCAAGAAACTAGAAACACCAATCAGAAAGAATATATGCACCCCTATGTTCATAGCAGCACAATTTACATAGCTAAGATTTGGAAATAGCCTAAATGCCCATCAGCAGATGAGTGAATTAGAAAACTGTGGTACATCTACACAATGGAATACTACACTGTGGTAAAAAAGAATAAATTCTTACCATTTGCAGCAGCATGGATGGAACTGGAGAGCATTATGCTAAGTGAAATAAGCCAGTCAGAGAAAGATAAATACCACATGATCTCACTCATTTGTGGAATATAATGAACAACAAACTGATGAACAAAAACAGATTCAGAGACAGAGAAGCATCGTTCAGACCGTCAAACCTCAGAGCGAAGGTAGGGGAGGGTGGGGGTAAGGGAGAGAAATCAACCAAAGGACTTGTATGCATGCATATAAGCATAGCCAATGGACACAGACACCAGGGGGGTGAGGGCATGAGTGGGGGGTGAGGGGGCAATGGAGGGATAAGGACACATATGTAATACCTTAATCAATAAAGAAATTTTTAAAAATAAAATTAAGATGAATAAGTTTACTATAACCAAGGTAAGTTTATATTTCTTAGTGTAGAGATAATATTTTCATTGATTTATATATACACACTGCTTACTTGCCTTCAAGATACAAGATTACCAATCATAAAAGTGAAGTTCAATAAAAATGGAAAACTGATTAAAACATAAAAATCATGAACCCAAAAATGCAGGGGAGAGGCAGTGTTGTGGGGGTGGAGGGACTGAGCAGAAAAGAAAGAGAAGTCATGGACACAGACAACAATGTGGGGGTTGCGGGGTGGGTGATGGGGAAAATAAAATAATAAAGTAATTAATAGGTTAAGAAAGAAAGAAATGCAGGGGAAAGGAGAAAGACTGTGACTGAAGAGAGTTCTAATAACTGGTCACTAAACGGAACTCCAAGCAAATGAGGTGCCAGGAGACAAGGAACCCAGAGGCTTGGTGGTGGGCCTTCACTGGCCCATAGTAGTAGACATTCCAATGATTCAGAAAGAGCCTTTCCTCTTGATTCTCAGGACTCAGAGGATCTGTCACTCTTTCTATCAAAGGGTGTAGTACAATAACATGAAGGCTATCTTAGATACCAATGTTATCAAAAAAGGAAAAGGGCTCCTCAGATATTTTCTATTTCAACCTTCAGTGAGGTTGGAATACTGGAGTCATTTTTCTATAAAAGGAGCCAGAATTACAGTATCCAGAAAGTAGTGATTTAGCAAGTTATGAAAATAACGTTTTGAAAATCTTCAGAAATGGAAGATGAATCCTTAAAGCTATTCTTCTCAAATGTCAGCTTTGACAACATATGAATGGCATAAGGATGATATATGCACATTCTCCTACAGAATTTTTCAATGTAAGAAATACATTTTGAGTAATCTGTAAAGACTTAATATCTCACATATTATCAACATTGATCCCCTTAGAAATCCGAGGAGAGATCTGCAGAAGTTGTGTGGGCTCCATCTAACGTCACACAGCGATCTGCAGGGCATGCTGGGAAGTCACACTTGAAGACACTGCATCACTAATGATGCTCTCCCATCACTCAAAGAGGAGATTGACTTTCCTGGTCATAAATTTGGAACAAAAGGGAATTTAATTTGAAGGTTTATATTCTGTATAATGAATTAAGTTACCCCACGAGCATTTAATCAAAGTCATATCTTAAGTGGTGCTATGAAATACTTGTCCTTCAGAAAGATGAATATGACATGATAAAAGGATATTTTCCCATTTAATAAGATTAACATAGAAGAGCCTCCCATTGAAGATAGTAATAAAAAAAATTAAAAACTCAATCCATTTTATGACATGGCTTATCACTCCCATTGTGGTGCTGATTTGGGTTCTGAAAAGATTTTAATATGTCTGAAATTCTCTGAGAACCATAAGTGGAAAAGTCCAAGGTACTTTCAGACTTTAGATTTCAAGTGCTAAAACTACCCTTTATAGCAGCTTTAAAAACTGCCCAACTTTCATCAAAACACCATCAGGCATTTTAAAATTCAGTGAAGTCCTTTAGGACTTGAATTAGAAAAATAGCACTGTTTCTTTACTATGTTTAAAGACAATGAATGAATAACTTTGAGCCCAAGGACTAATACACTCAGACATTTTTTAAAATGTCTGTGCATGAAAGGTCCAAGGTCAATGGGTTTATACAAAGGAAAAGAAACCCCCGTGTAACAAGCACATTGGTCAAGATAGAGAAAGACACACAGAGAAGTAGAGGCATGTTTCCAGGGGGGTTCTAGCTTTTCATTTTGACCCACTCCCTGCTATGGGAAAGCAATACTGAGGGGCCAGGCGTCCAATCGTGAAGGGCCTT